CTCCACATACTTGCTCTGAATAGATGTACAGAGGCTGTTCTGATATAATATCAGAATTGCATCTCTACAGATACAACAAGTCTGCTTCGCTGCTTGAACCTTCACTGTAGCAAAGTTTGGGAGAAAAAAATTAACTTTCGTATCTCCTTAGAAATACATTAATTGTCGAATCTCTGCTGTTGTAAAGCACATGTTCACTTTAAGTATTTTTTCACTAATTGGAGAAATTACTTCCAACATTTTTTGATACACAAAAAATATTTTCAGGAGAAAATACTTTTCTTCAAAACTACTGTGCAGCTTGCCATTTTTCTAGAGTCAATGATCATGAAACTGCACAGAAGTCCCACAGTATTTCCCACAAGATTTCTCTGGGAAGAAATCTCATACATTAAAATATTGTTATATGAAGAAAAGAGGCCTGTTTTTTCCCATTTCTCTACCAGGGCAAGAGGTTGTGAGATCCACATTCCTAATTTACTACTATGTGTTTTAATTAGTTCCATAACCATTTGATTACCCTGATTTTCTGCCTCAGCCAAAACATCCATTCTGGAATTGTGACAAAACCTTTAGAAAGTCTTAAACCTTGATTCTTTGTATGTGTATGCCCCCTGTTTACTGCCAATATCACCATATGATTATAAAGACTGCCATACATACAAATTCTTGCCTTACCTATCCATTCAACTATTTTATGAGACAGACTGTGCTCAGCTAAAACTGAACTACTCTGTGAACTGCCACAGTGGAATTGTACTAACATGTTCAAATCCAAAGTAAAATAAATGAAGAAATAGTTGTGGTAAGAAGTTTATTGTATTATGACAAAACTCAACCTCTTAAATTCAGCATAAGGTGATGGTAGCTGTGTTAATCACAAGGGGAAAAATCTGTAATGCTCATGATGACAATATATGTATTAAGCTAGCAAAATCATGTCCAAACTTTTGTTCAGCTCAGAGGGACTGAAGGAAGAGAACTGTCCTATTGTAGCCAAAGTTACAGTGTAGTCAGCTGAGTTATCCAAATGTAAGGTCCTGCTGTGAGTCATTAGTAAGATGTAGGTGATGTTTCCAATTCAGAAAGAATAGCTATGCCAACGTATTATGCAGAATTTTTCCATAAATTTTTTAATAAGTGAGAATTGATAAGCTTTTGCTGACTTCCTTTAACACTTCCAAATGGTTGCTTAGATCTTTCTCACTCAAGTCTTCTTTGGCTACATAACAACAATGTAAAGTCTTTCTTTCAGTAAATTAAAAACATCTTGCTTTAACTTCTTTTTTCTGGTACTGACTACTTCATCTATATTTTGCCCTTCACATGAAGATCTAACCTTAAGGAAGAATGATGACTGCTGTGTTGCTGGAAAGCAAACCTTGTGGAAAAAATGTTGACCTTGTCACAATTAATTGTTCTGATACTAATTTTAATTCCTCTATAGATTTGTTATGAGCTTTTACTTTGCCAAAAAAGAGCTCTGCTGGTATTAACAGTTACAGCAGTATTGCTTTAGACATTATGCACTTCAGCACTTCAGGATATCCCAGAATACCTGCTTACCTTTCTGCCTTATCTCCTGGCACACTATAATCTTACAAAAATATTATTTAGGTTATTTCTAGCCTGCATAGGTTATTGGAGAGTCAAACTGATTTGAGACTAAAGGCAAAAAACTTATAAAAGCTTTTGGAAATCTGCCTTAAACAAACTACGTATGCCTGCAACTCAGGTCTATTTAGCAGAAAATCATGTTCTATAATCACTGAAATTTAAAAAAAGTAGTTATCCAACAAAGTGATTGAAGAGGAAGGGCAGGATTTTCCTAAAGCTTTTATAAGGAAGATTATTATAGCTAGGAATTTACAGATTTTTCCCTATCCACAATTGTCCATTTTCAGGGCTTTGCTCTATTCCACTGAATAGCTCTGTCTTTTTTATTTTTCTCCTCCTCCCCCTCCCCTTTGCTTCCTTGACAACTGGAAGGTGCAGCTTGTCACAAGTGACAATAGTATGCATGGGAGCTCAGTATAGCTTAATCACTGAACACTACCTAGGGAATTTTAATACAGTTTACATTAAGGGATACTTTCTTGCAATAACACTGAGACAAATAATTTTGTATGTTACTGTTTACCAAAAAGCAAAAGCAGGATGAAATACACAAACAAATAAATAGCATGCATTCTGGGAACAACATGGCAGATTTAAGTACAGAACGCATCTAACAGATCTGTGATATTCGTTTGAGAGGTGTTGCAAGAAAACAAAAGGAGCTGTACAGATGAGAAATCCAGGTAGAATGAAAAATAAGAGGAGAAACATCTGCTTGTAAAAGAACAAAGTGCGACAGGAAGGAAGAATGAAAAACATAATTTTAACATTAGGAGGGGGTGAGGAACTGCTTTCCAAGATCTGAATTACACCATAGGGGGCGGGGGGGGGGAACCTGAAGGAAAAATTGAATTAGGTAAACTGCATTAAGGCCAGTTACCTTAATAACCCAAGAACTCATGCAGATAAAAACAGTTCAAAAACAAAATAAAAGTACAGTATAAAAGAAAAGAAACAAGAAAGAGAGGGAAGTAGAAAGTTGCAGAAGTACAGAAGTTGCCTTCTCAAGCCTGCACATTTTGTGGAAAGCTTACCTAATATTTGGCTGTAACTGACCAGATTCAGAGGTGCTGGAAACTTAAAACTAGTAATTATAAATATATCTGCTTCGTCTTCCCTTTAGAGTCCAGCAAAGAATTTTTGTGCACACATGGATGTAAATGCACACACATATGGAAAGGTTTCACAACTATCAACTCCCAGCAATCATGATTAAAACAGACCCCTGCGCTGTTTACAGGTAATGTCAGTGTTCCTAGAAGTATACTAGTATATCCATGATAACCTCAAGTGTAACTCCATTTTGTTTGCACAGTTGCACTAGTCAAGACATGGGGGAGAGAATCAGCTACATATAGGTGCAAATATCAATATTAAGCATATTAATTTGACAGGCCGATCCAATTTATTAAATATGGATTTTCTAATCCTACTCTCCTTCCAAATGAATTATCAAATGAATTCAAAAATATCACATGTTTGCATCCTAAACTGCTGCTGCCTACGGGTTTCATGCTAGAATGGATGCCATGTTACTATGATCATTGATAGCTGGCTTGTGTCATTAATGAAAACTATCCCTCAACTCTCATGAGCATTGGGCCAGTTGGACTATCTGACTGTGCAACCAACCACTATTAAAAGAAAATAGCATTAATATCCTGACTTGGAAGATTACAGATGACTGTAAAGCTTCATGAGTCTTTGTTCATAGTGAACTGCTATATTTAGTATGCCAATCACCCTTCTGGTGCAAAAAGGACTGGAAAAGAAAAACACATAAAAGCAACATGGTAAAAAGATACAAAACAGGACACTATATATTGCCCTTCAGTCTAGCAATTCATCTATCACCTTAAGCATTTTAAAAGTCCAGGCAAGCTAGACATTTACTGATACTTTATTTTTACACTTTTCTTGTAAATGTTTGTACTAAAAATGACTGACAGAGTTAGCAAGACTGAATGCTGAACACACTGAAGATTTGATGAGTGGTTCATTTCATTTTTTCTTTTCACAGTTATTTCATCTGTTTGCTGACAAAAGCTTATCAAAAACTAATGCTCCTGATTTTCTTATGGGCCATTTGAAAAGCACATCACCAACATTGTTGAGAGTTTTTCATACATATTGTCAGAAGAAGACTGTAGCACAAAATATTTTTTAAAAAGGGGGAAAAGAAACATTAAGGCTTCTGCAATAGTTACTCTGGGTCAGGGGTCAGGGAACTTTTTTAGCTTTTACCCCCCAAAAAATTTATATACGCCGACATTACCCTCTTGATTCGAAAGGAAGGAAATCATACATTATCTGAATTACAAATATTATTGAATCTACACAGGCTGTGTACCGAACAACCAGGATGCACCAAACTTGATAAAGATGTGCACTATTTTTGCTGGAACACATTGCACTCCAGCCATGGTGGGGTATAGGGAGTAGTAAGGTGTCCAACAGTGCCTAGCAAGTTGCTTTAAATTTTTGCTAGCTCACAGAGGATTTAATCATCACCAGAGTGGTGCTAGCAATGACATGCTTGCTAGAGACAGCCAACGCAGAATTGGGGGGGGGGGGCTGCTCATTACCCCCAGAATTTTCACTTTTACCCCATTTGGGGTAATTTATCCCTGTTCCCCGATCTATGCTCTGGATGGATTGACAGACATGGCAGTTTCTCAAACAGTGCAGAGGGGTAGTGCACAAACTACAGTATTTAAACACCCACATGTTCACTTCTATGGCAGACTGTATGCAAACACAGATAATGTGCAATGCCTCCCAGTTTTGAAAGACCTTTTCAGAGATTTCTGGGCACACAGGTTTAAATATGTTTTCCTGATTATTCTGAGTAGGTGCTGTGCTAACAGAAAGTTCCCATGTTCTGCTTGAAGATTTGCTGTGGCAAAATTAGCCATCAGAAAAGAAAAAAGAAATATTATCCTTAACAATTTAAGTTTCATAAAGTGGTGTTTGTGCTGAAACAATGGCTTGCTTATCTATTACCAGGGTGATAATCTAAAAGAAACAGATCAAAAGTGTGTTATTCTCTGAGCATTTACAAATTGTCCTTATAAGTGTATTCCTTTCTCAAATGTACCCCTGTATCCGTAGGATCAATATTTGTGGTTTCACTTATCCACGGTTTGCCGCAGCCCTATATGCAACATACAAGGATACCCCACTGTGGCATTTTCTTCTCTCACTCTTGTATGTAGGATTCCCTCATACCTGCTGTTTCAGACATTCACAGTAGATCATAGAAACTATCCCCCATGGACACAAGGATCTTGCTGTATAACACTTTTTTAAAAGGTTTCTCAAGTAATTTTTTTACACAGTAGCTGTACAATTTCTTTAAACACAGCTGCCAAAAACACACTTACCTTGCATAGTTGTTTTTGTAGGTTCTGAAAACAAAGGAATGAGCAGGAGGTAGATGAGGTAGACAAATGAGAGCCCATTGTAGCGGAATGCACATGCTGCAGAAACAGAGAGGGAAAAACAATTTCTTTATAGAACTAATAAAACAGAGAAATAAATACGATAATTCAGCATAGAATAACAAATGCATTTTAGCCCATAAATAAATATTAATTTAGAAGATTTGAGTCAGCAAAATCAAATATCACAGAACCTCAGTATTTTCTTTCTCTTCTCCCCCCCCCCTTTTTTTTTGCATGACCTTGGAAGAGTCTTGTTATAGTTTTATACACTGTGGCTAATTTTCCTATCAGGAGGAGGGGGGGAAGTAAAAATACACTATCTACCCAACTAATCCAATGAAGCATAACTCTAAATCAATCTGAGACCCAAATTGCTCAGACTATACAAAAATCTTTGTATTAACCATTTAGTTTATTTGTAGAGAGACATACTTCTTTTTTTTTAACCTTCATTATTAAAGAACCAGACTATTTGTAAAGCTTTTGGATTTCTCTCTTGTTCTAAATCTTGCAAAATAACATTCATTAATGGCACACAAACTATTCACATGTACCGTAAACTACACATATATTTTTCTACCCAAACCCTAACATATCAACATACATTTGTTAGCAATAACACTAAGTCGAGAATGTCACAAGAAGCAGTTGTAAGTTAATGGGCCGTGGAGCAGAAACCAGGGATTCCAAAGAATTTTCTATATAAAGAAAGAGCATCACATCTATGCATTTTTTTTCATTGAAACACTAAAGAAAACAGAAGCTTCAGCATGTGTCTTTTGGGTGGGCTAAAAACAGACTGTACTACATGACGAATATATGAACAAAATTGTTATTTAAAAGGCAGCAAAAAAAAGGCCAGCTGTAGGCCAACCACATGGCAGATGTTGAAAAGCATGAGACCTACCACATTCAGCATTTTTTAATGTGATTAGCCAAATGCAGAAGTATCAGTGCAGGAACAGATACGCTTTTTCATTTGCATTAAAATGTAACAATCTCAATTCAACTGAAAATTCCTCTTATATTTAGAGCGAAGACATTTCTCTACATTCAACTTCTAAATCACAGAAATTAGGTGTATCACACTAATATTTATCACTTCCACCATGATGAGTGCATAAGACTAATTTAAACTGTCTCACTCTAATAAACAAATTATTTTGAAAAACCACTGAAATGGTGTCCAATAATTCTAGAGACAAAATCTCTGAAGAAAGAATACACATTACTCTGGAGCTCTTAACTTTACACAATGCAACTCCATGGGAACTGATTTTTCTATTGGCAGCTACAATAATACAGTATTTAAGGCAAGAGTAGGCAAGTTCCAGAGATTCAGAGACCATACATGCATAAGGCTCAACCTTGGAAAGCTATTTGTACAACCTGCACACCTCATTTTTTCTAATTAAAATGGGGTGTTAATTGAAAAAACCCTTGCACCCACTGGTGGCAAAAAAGGCTAAAATAATTCAAAACCAGTTGGAAAAGTTGGAATAGGGTGCTGGAAGGAGATGTAGGTTGCCCACCAAAGAACTGTAGGTTGCCCACCTCTGCTTAAAGAATTATATGGAGGGACAGCAATCATGAGAGTGCAGAACAGACACTTTGCTAAAACAGTCTCAATTCTACTGAAGGATCTAGTCCAGGCTTGTCCAACCTGTGGCCTGAGGGCCGCATGTGGCCCAGGTCGGCTCATAATGCGGCCCAGTGCAATTTTTTATTTTTAAAGAAATTCCAAAGTTTCAAGTTACACTGCCGCCGCTTGCAGCCAGAATGCGGCCTGGACACGTCACAATGGTAGGGGGGGAGAGGGAAGGAAGGAAGGAGAGGGAGGGGAGAGGGGGGCTGTGTGACTGCATTGTGCTGTCCCTGTCAATAGGTGGACCCCATCCCAGACCCATAAAGCCACCAGAGTCGAAGCTGGCAGCCTCTGCTATCTGAGATCGCAGCTTCCAGTAAGCGCGCTTGGAGCAGGGCTGCAGAGGATGGCTAGGGCTGCCCCCCATGCGGACCAAACCAACATTATGTGTGGCCCAAACCAAATTTTCATCTTCTAATGTGGCCCAGGGAAGGTGAAAGGTTGGACACCCCTGATCTAGTCCATCTAGCTTACTGGTTCAATGTCAGCAGCACCACTGCAGAATAATCTGCTCATCAGTTCTCAACAAGGAAAGACAGTTCATTAGCCACTTCCTGCCTATTTTACCTTCAATAACTAATAGAGCCATTTAGTGCTGAACCCAGGTTTCTAAATATAATCCCCAATATGAATGTGCAAAGCAAAAAAAATTCATATTTTTATGGTTCTTTACTTTGAGTTCTTGGGAAGTTGCTCTTTCACTTGGTTCTTTTTTTACACACTAATTCTTTTGTTTTACACAAAAGGAAAGATGTATTTTGGGTCACACATTTTCATGTTTTCCCATTTATGTTTTCTGGCATTCCAAAAGATCTAAAGAACTCTTAGAAATTACTCCAAAAAAGAAGAGGCAATGCAACAGAGCCAATCTGCTTCAAAAGCAGTAAACAGTAAATGAGAAAGGAAAATCATCATCAGGTGCAGGTAGCCACTCGTTTATCTTATCAACAGTGTGAGTTCAGCATCCCTCATGCAACACAACAGAGGCCCTCTGGTTCTGGGCTTCACAATAGAAAAAATGCAAAGAAGCAAACACTCACCAAAAGGTACTCACCAAAGCAACCAATACCAAAACACCAGAAACAAGCAAGAAATGTCCCAGCCTCTGCCCAGCTAACAATCACCACTACACACACAGCCCTAGCATACTGACGCAGTCACAGACACAGTCACAAAGTCCACCCACCTGACTCACACACTAAATAGAAACAAGCAAAATAGTCCCATTCAAAATCCACCAAAATGTACATCTTTAACAGAATAAATACAGAATAAATTAACTAAATAACAACTTTTTAAAAATCAATCAAACAGGGAAAGCAGTCCCTCCCAAACAGGAGTAGGAAGCAAAATAAAACATACACATAGAGTGAACTTCCTCTCTCAAAAACCAAGAAACAAACAAGCAAATAAAAACAAAGCAAAATAAAACAAAGACCCCAATCAAAAGCTAATAGAATATGGGGAGATTCTCCCTCCCATCATTTGATGCCTTCTCTTCTCTTCCTTTTGTCCAGAAGGCACCAGTCGGAAGACCAGCCACCAGCAGAAACAATCCAGGAAAGGAAAGGACCAAACAAACAAAAGGGGGAATCCCATGAAGCACTAGGAATAAAAGACACAAAGAGCACTTTTATTTTTACAGATTCAAAATTCCTGCTCTCTCTCCAGAAGTTCTTATTGGCTGCTGAGAACCCTCACAACTGTTACAGGATGAAAAATTTCTAAGGTGATTTCACAGACAAAAAGTGAAAGAATGGGGGCCAAAAAGAAACACAAAGCTTTTGTATACTGCTGTTTCATAAACATGAACCATTGGTGTTTAACAGATTCTTTTGAGACAACTTTTGAAAGAACAAGAATTATGCAAAAGACAGCTTTTAAGGTTTGGGGTCTTTCATATAGACATGCAAGGCCCATCCCTACTCCTTACAAGCAGTTAGAAAATTGTGTTAGACTAATGAGGAGCAAAGCATTCAAATTTCTGTCAGATGTTCTCCTGGGCAAGAGAAACTAAGTTTGTAAAGTTACTTTGAAAATATATTAGTTACAGTTTTGGTCTTCAGGTTCTCCAAATATTTAACTATCATTACATTTACATTTTTAAGTAACTCTTTGTTCTTCCATTTCAGTTATTTCTTAAAAATACATATCTGAATATTACATAGCCTGTGGAATGCACTTTCTTCCCATTCACCTAGCTGTTGCCTCAATACCCCAAGTGGAGCATGAGGCAACAGTGTAAGTAGCGCCACACTTTAGTGAGACCACATTTCTATATTTACAAAAGTAAATCCAGTTAGGGATTTCACCTCAAAACGAACGATGTTATTTCCCGTTAAGTTATAACAACTGTAATGTAATTTTGTAACATCACACTTATTGAAAAAATGTGATTTCTAGCAACAACTGGCCGTTTGTCACCAGTTACTAATGTATGAGGATAATGAGCGGCACAGTTTGCCTTTTGTATTTACATGTTACAACTAGAAGTAAAGATTAACACCAAACTGAGCATTTATAAGTTATTAATAGCTTTATTTTTCCCTCAACAAATATTGCAATATCAAAGTACTGCTAAAAATTAACTTCATGTGAATGTGTTAGTGCCCTCCACACTGCCCTCCATAATGACATAGCAAGTGCTTGCAGAAACAAGCTCTTTATTAGAGCAACAGAACTTCTGGGAGGGGCAATGGAACCAAACAGCAAAACCTAAGAACTCTAGGGTGCCAGGGAGTTGACATCACTCCCTTTGTGGGGAGGGAGACCCCTTAGAAGTCATTCATTGAGAGTAGTGGAGCCCCATCTCTTCTACCAGTTCCAAGACACCTCGCAGGTGAGCCAAATATGAAGTCTCACAACATGGGTGCTGTATGTATGCAGCCAGCTGTCCCTGAAGGGAAGTAGTAAAGGCTCCTTCCCCTGCTGTGCCCCCACAGTCCCCAGCAGTGGCCACCACCCTGTAAGTACAGCAGTCCTCTTGAGAGGCGAGGCCACACTCTACCCAGACCTGGCTAGGTTCTCCAGTGTGGCGTGATGTAGAAGGAGGAGGTACAGGAGGAAAGCCGTCTGACCAGCTGTGGGCAGGCTGACCAGGAGGTCTCTACTGTAGGGCCACTTGCCCCTGCTGCTTCCTCTACTGGTGTTGTGCAGGAATGATAGAAGAAAAGAAAGAAGAGTTTAAGTTTTTCAAAGGTTAGGAATGGATCTAGAAACAGGACGCGTGAACTTATACATGGGAAGAGCTCATGGTCCCTTATGAGAAAGCCAAGAGGAAGGGCAGACATCATACCCCTAAAAAGCCATAATACTGGGGGTAATGAGAGAGACAAGAAAGGCATAGGAAGACACTTGAAGGAACAACAAGAAGAAAGATGGAGCCCTCAGC